GAACCTTCTTCGATTAATTTGCACACATACGAACCAGTTTCTTCTTCATATGAGAGCCAAGACAAGGAATGCCTGGTGCCATTCTCGGCGGAGACAATAACATGGTGTTGGGTTTTGTCGGTGATTGCCAAAGAAAGGTGCTTGGATACAAAATCAGGGTTCTTGATGAGAACCTGCCATGACCTGTGGACGCACTGGAATCGCATCAAGGATTTGACTGGAAGCCGATGCAAGATTTCCTGAATGATATCTCCTGGCAGATCAGCCATGTCTGCGATTGGATTGAAATTGAAAAGGGGTTTTCACTTTTGAACGGATCCTCGTTGAAAGCCCTCACCAATTTCTCCGATTCGTAGCAGCCAAAGACGAGATTTCTTAAAACCCCAGCAGAAACGGAGATGAAGGAAGAGTGAAGACGATAAGTGATGACGCAAAAATATTTTTATCGAAGATATTTAAGTAACATTTTGTTTTTTTTCTCAAGTTGAAATTGCCAGCTAGGATTCCACGATGGCAAACAAAATTGTTTCTAAACTTTTCTACAAGATATTTTTTTCTACTCTAATTAGACTCTTTTTTTTTGTTTTACATAAAAATGTTATTTGTTTATTACTATAAAAGTTGAAATTTTTATATCTAAACTTTTTTTAAACTAAAATTTTTAAATTAATGATATTAACTTAATTAAATTCTTGTTGTTGATTCTAATTAGATTTATGATATTAAGTATTTGAAAATAGTTATTTAAAAAAATAATAAAAATAACAAAAATTTTAAGAGTACAATTTGATCATATCATTTAATAATATTTTATATTATTTGATGTTTTTTTTAATATTTATGATATTATATGTATTAATTTATTTAATAATATAATTTATATCACCTTATTAATACGAAATTTTCATACTTCCTATTATTATTTGTTATTTAATGATATAATTTATAAAATAAATTATTTGCACATCATTTACCTTTTCTATATATTAAGCACCAATTTATATTTGTAAAGATTAAACAAAAAAAA